GTATGAGGTAACTAAACATTATTTCGCAAGAAAACACAATAAAACAAACTGATAACAAGAAACCTCGTTTTCGACATTTAAACATATTTATGCCATGACAGTCTGTAAATTCGTAATCACAGATTCAAACCTTAGTTATTTGTTTGCTATTTCAACATATATTTCAAATCAGCGGCCGCTCGCGACTTTTTAAACATCCCTCAGCTACCTGACATTTTTTTGGACATTTAAAGAATCCTATGTCTCAATCTAGGTAAAATACTATATGTGTGTTAAATTTCATGCAAATCCTTTTATCCATTTTTGCGTGAATGAGTAACAAACATACGCACATTCACATTTATAATATTAACTAGTGGGTCTCTGCGACTTCACCTGCTTGGTAATATTAATTTCCCAGGCAACCAACCGTTTTATGCCTATAGGGGATGAATGTTAGAAAATCTTTTTTAAGCGCACGCCTTCTTCTTAATAGCTATATGTGTGTTAGTAATGCTGCCTTTCATATAAATAGAAGATAAACGGATTTTTTAATCTAAATGAAAAAAAAACTCTGATGATATATTGTTTGTGTGACACAGAAGGAAGGGAAAAGTACATAGTAATATGTTTAGTGTGAATTGTTTTGATCGGATTATTGTAATTAACAATCTGTAAATAAATATAACAATGTGGACCTCACTAAAAAATATAATCTGATTAAATTTATAAGGATATTTCTAATACGGAAGTGTTTTGCAAGGACCACAGACACAGTCGCAATTACAGGCTGATGAAATTCATATACATACTTGCACTTTACGCTTAAATATCGTAGCAGAATATTGAAATATGGCAGTCTGTAAATTCGTAAGCCCAAAACAGAGAGTTATGCATAAAATCGTCAAGTGCGAGTCGGGTTCGCAAACGTAATGCTTATACCATGCTAGATAATTAAGACTAAATCGAGGCAGCAACACCTTTCGTGATGTGGAAATTCGTGGTGTGGAAGCCAACTTCATCGTCATCAGCCTATTAATGTCCCCATTGCTGGAACAGAGACCCCTTCCCTATGGATGGAATAGGGAGATTGGGCTATGACCCATCACACGGGACACCAGTGCGGATCGCTAACGACTGCATATGCAGCCGGGACCAACGGCTTAACGTGCCTTCCGAAGCACGGAGGAAACCAACTTATCTATACATATAATAAAATGGTAGGAAAGTCAAAACTGTACATTGAGTATTTTTTTAAAAGAATACTTGTGGTGTAATCTACAATGGATACTGAAGCCAAACATATAGTTTTTAGAATTTTTGTCTGTTTGTCTGTATGTATGTCCGGGATAAACTCAAAAAGTACTGCATGGATTTACTTCAAATTTGGCACGAATATTACTAAGGAGTCGGGTCAACATATAGGCTGCATATTATCACGCTATATCCTACGGGGAACGAGCAGTGAACCTTCATTTCTTCGACGCATTCTGTAACAACATGAAATCTAACGACGCATATTTGAATGTAGTTATTATGTAAACCATGCTATAAGCTAGCTTCACACTATAAGTAACTTAGGCCGATAAACATAATAAACAATTTTAAAGCTGCGCCATCTAAAATTCCCATGGATTTAGAGAGCGTCGAAGCGCCTGTTTGTGGTGGGTCACGTAACAATGATAAGGGACACGTGCTTAAGGATTGCTCTCTTATCTATCAATAAGTCGCAGGGGCAGACACTGAGGGCAGTGGGTGTCGACCTCGGTACGAGCTGCTTCTCACATGGGCAGCTGTACGTCGCTTGCTCCCGCATCACCAGTCTTGACTCTCTTTACATTTTAGCTGTGGAGAGCCAAACCACTCATTTAGTTCATCGAGAAGTCCTATAAGTATGTATTTTTACCTTATCCTGTATTCCTTATTCATTATTTTCTCCATCTGCTTCAGCCACAACTTTGTCTTAATTCAGCAGAATCACCATAAAATAATTTATTAAAAGCAGATTGAAAATCAGCACTTCTTGAAGGTCAATTTTACAAAAGACATCTTCATCCCTCTGTTACTGTACTTTCTGTAGATATGAAATGTAAAGAAGAAACGAGAACATGAATGTTATTTTAAAAGGTATAATTGTAGGTATTTTTGGTGCTGTAAAGCGTTCACGCAGACGACATCGCAGCGAAATACCACTCACTTAACCAGTGAGTCACGAAATCTCAGAAACTATAACATCTACAATCTAAAAATTTGGCAGGTGGGTTCCCTATAGGGTGTAGATATCCGCTAAGAATTTCACGAAACTCCACCCTAAGGGGGTAGGTAATACGGGAGTTGGAAGTTTGTATGAAAGTCCTATGTTTTTGAAGTAAGAGACTTAAAATTTTCATGTATGCTCTATAGATGGTGTAGATGTGTACTAATAATGTATCTTTACAAATGAACCCCCTTTTGGGGTCAAAAAGTATGTGCAAATAACTAACTCCACGCGTACGAAGTCATTAATAGTTATAATAAAAATTAAATAAAATATAAGTTAATTTATATTTAATTTAATTTTTATTGTTTGTTGTGATAGCGACTCCAAACGTAAACGTTTTCATAAAAAGAAATTATTATATCTAAGCATTTTCTGATTGAGATACCGCAATTATAAAGAAAAACGGGTCCAGTGCTTTATTAGTCTATAGCGGCCGCCCGCGACTTCGTCCGAGTTGGCATTAGTTTTTTGTGTATCCCTCAGGAGCCTGACATTTTTCGCGATAAAAGTCTTATGTCTCAATCCAGGGGCCCAATTCTCGCGGCGTAGATATTATATCGGCTTCAAGATAATATCGAAAGGAGGGATATCTATTGAAAATATCTACTGATGGTAAAAAATGCTATTCTCGTGGATTTTCGATATTCCAATGATATTATATCTATCGTAGATATTATGTCACTGCCGAATGCGTTCCGTTTTTCTCGATTAAGTTAACATCATAGTCTATATAAAATAATAATAAATTAGAGCAGAATTTTACAAGCAACAAAATGATATTTTATGAATTCCATTCATATTAAATATGAGTATACATTTTTTGAGTATAAGAAATCTCAACTTTACCTAAATTGTATGCGTGTATAATTTCAACGTTATGTATAATGAAACGTCAATATTATAGATGATCAAACGAACTTCACTGTGAAGTTCGATCACTATTATATGAATTCACTTCATTCGAAGATATAACCGTGCGTAATGTTGCCTGTACGATAAAAGGACTACATTGTATGGTTATATCTGAAGAATGAAGTGACTGAAATATAATTTAAGATTCTCCCTTTTTAGGGAAGGCAAAGGGAACAATGCCCATACAGCCTAGTCTTTAGTTATATTAATCTTCTTTTTTTACATTAGAATGTCGGTGTGACGCATTCTAATGTTTCTTGGAGTGTTTGGCACGAAATTTATGGAGTTGGCTTTTTCTCTAAGCTTCTGTGAGGTAGTCAACACTACAATAAAATTCTCGCGTCCACTTGACCGGAATACCGTATATATTAAAGATTCCACTAATTCTTCAGTTGCGCAGACGGTTGTAACACCAAATCACACCAATTTTATTTCACAATAGCCACTATGAACGAATTTTAGAATAATTAAAATAAGACGCCAACCGCACTCGCAGAAATCCCGCCAAAAACTCCGTATCGTCAATAAGAAAATGGTGTCGATTCTGGCATGATTCTCTAAACCTAAACGTAAATTTGACAACAGTGTATCCTTGTCATTCTCCATACAGAATGAAAAGGAGAGACTGATGTTAAATTTAGTTTTAAGTTTAGAGAATCATGTCAGAATCGATACCAATGTCATTCATAACTTTATAGATTTATAACCAAATTTTTGTTTAAACGTAATTTTTTTATGAAGTCGGCGCCCCTCATTTCAAATGGGCCCTCTTGCTCTCACAACGGCGGCGCCTTAGCACAGCAGCAGCAATCACTAAATCATTGATGAAAACATGAATCAACTCATCCATCGTTAATATAAACTGGTGTTGATTCTGGCACGATTCTCTAAATCTAAACTTAAACTTGAAAACAGTGTTTCCTTGTCATTCTCTATACAGAATGAAAAAGAGAGACTGATGTTAAATTTAGGATTAAGTTTAGAGAAGCTGAACGCACAAACTGTGCATGCCATAAAAAAAAGAAAAAGAAGAAGTTTAGAGAATCACGCCAGAATCGACACCATTGTTTACCTACTTCTTTATTTCCTAATTATTTATGAAGGCAGTTAACAACATCTGGAGGTAACAATAATTGGCAATGACACACGACAACACAACAAATAATAGGTAAAAAAAGTGGAAATAACAAGATTGACATGCCAAGATCCATAGATATTTATATATCGAAGGCTCTTTACCAGTCGATGTATGTCTACTGATCATCCGTAGATAAATATCTATTGCGACATGGTGAGAATAGGGCAAAAAGGTTTTCCTTCGATAAAAGGCAGATCATTCGATATATATCGAAGGTGATATAATATCAATGCCGCGAGAATTGGGCCCCAGTTCATAACCTATATGCATACTAAATTTTATCTAAATCCATTCAGTATTTTTTGCGTGATTGAGTAACAATCCTACAAACTTACACATTTATAATATTAGTAGGATTATTGGGAGGAACAAACGAAATTCATTTGAATAAATTTGTGATCAGGTAAAGAGAATGGTCCTTTGTCAAATTGTTCAAGGTAAACACGGAAACAGAGTTCTGACAAGACAGTATCTATTATGGTATTAAACACTAACGTTACATGGCTTAGATTCGATTATACTATTAGAACTTGAACGGTAAAGCTCGTTGAGCCCGTGCCGCCCTTAGGGTAACGATCTGCGGCCAACGCCTTGTTGCATATTTGCCTACGTCACAAAGGTATAGGGTACGCCTACCAGATTAACTAGTATATAAGCTGCAGCAAACGGGGTAATTGCATCAGTTAGTTGAAGGAAATAACACAGACCACAATGTTCAAGCTGGTGGTGTTGTCCTCCCTGTTGGCCCTGGCTGCGGCCTCGCCTAGTGGTTTCGGAGCCTTAGGGCTCGGATTGGGTGGTCTTGGCTGGGCTGGTTTGGCGTCTCCTCTGGCAGCACCTATCGCCGCGCCTTGGGCGCCTGCTGTTGCCGCTCATGGCGTAGCGGTGGCGCCCGCTATTGCGGCCGCGCCAGTGCTCGGACACGCATACAACTACAGGGGACCTCTGTCGCTGGCTCCCGGACAGCCCGCCAACATCCTTGCTGCTGACGGCAGGCCGCTTGACACCCTCAGCGTGAACTTGGATCGTGCCGCGCACCTCACCGCCCGCGCCGTGAGCGGCGGTCATCTGCTGAGGAAGAGGTCCGCCCCCATCCTGGCTCCCGCCGCTGCGTGGTCGCACTCCGCCCGCATTGACATTCCCTCGCGGTTGATCGCCTCGGCGCTGCCCGCTGTCGCCGCCGTTGGTTGGCCCGGCGCCCGCGCTGCTTGGGGTGCACCTGTGGCTGCTCCCTGGGGTGTTGGACCTCTGGGCCCCGCTGGGGTTATCGGTCACCTTGGTTAAAATGTACATATGAGATCGTTACTTAAGATAATTCAACACTATATCTATAAGTTTAAACTAAATTTATAAAGAGAGTTACCACTACTTATCTTTGTTTCCCTCTGATATTATCACCCTTTATATTTAATTATCAGGTTCATTTCCCATTTGAGCAAAAGGTTTTACTAATTTTAAAGTCACTATTAATTTTGAATTTGGTGCACTTTTACTTTGGTGATATTTTCAAGACCTGGTAACCTTCAGGTGATGACGCAGCGTCAAAGGTTCAACTCCTCAAACACTTACAGTTGATGTCGCATGTTTGGGCTCAAAAGAATGGTCTCAATGAATAAATGACGATTGAAGCGTTGTTTTTAGTGTATCCAGTGGCAGGTTTACCTAGTAGCGGTAGTAGCAATTGCTACAGGCCCTTCGTGTTTAGGGGCCTCGTGCACCAACGCTTTCTAACCATATAAAAGTACGTACCCCCGACGCAAACAAAGGGATGTTTAAAGTTTGAAGTATCTGTGAGTCTGTGTATCTGTATTATGGCATCGTAGCTCCTGAACAGACAGACAAATTTGGATGCGGTTTTTTTTCTTTGAGAGCTGACACGATCGAGATCGTTCTTAGCTATAAGTTATGAAGATTTCTTCAGGTGTTTGAAGACTATCAACTCATTTCCTATTTAAGAAAAGGGCCTTACCAACTGCAGACTGCTGTTACCATCGATTTAAACTTAAAACTTTTGGGAAACTCAACTGCTCAGCAATTCACAGCAGATGTAGTGTGTTTGGTGTCATAAGAATGGTCTCAACAAATTAATTATTATAATCGCAGCTGAAAAACCTCCACAGATTAAATTCAATTAAATTCAGTTTAATTAATCTTTGCAGTTCATGTTTTCGTTTCTGCTTTACATTTATGTATCTTAACTAAACTAGGCCACAAAAAAATGAACTGATAACAGCACCTCTAGTGCTGTGTGTCGCAAACTTTTTACACTTTTTATTCTACATCAAAATATCGTTCAAAGAACCAAAACTTTGAGTTTTTACTCAATTTTGAGAATTTTATAATTGTTGTGAATCCGAATACAAAACCCTTTCTTGTATTACAAGTTTTTTCCTTTTTAATAGTTTTTTAAATATGTTGTCATGGTGATTTTGACTGTTAATATTTATTGACTATATCTGGACTTAGCGTATCCATGAATAACAATGAATCATAAAAATTTCGTCTTTTTATTTAATAAGTTAAAATAATCTTTATAATTATAAATGTGAAAGTTTTGTAAGTTGTAAGCGAGTATGTATACATTCGTTGTACACACTTATACTATTCGATAATAATCTATATTTCGTCCATAAGTGAGGTCTGGCAGTCTTGGGATCCTGTACAATAGATTTATATAGAATCTAGCTGTCCCAGCGAACTTCGTACAGCCATAAAAAATAGGGGTTGGTGCTAGAAGGGTAAAAATTTTGGGTAGTATGTATTTTCGTATGATGTATCATAAAATAATCAAAAATGAAATATAGATGTTGTCCGATTCCCAGACCTACTGAATATGCATATAAAATTTTCACGAAAATCGGTCGAGCCGTTTCGGAGTAGTTCAATTACGCACACCGTGGCACGAGAATTTTATTTATTAGATGTAAAAAAAAATACAGGAAACACAAATGCGTTTGCTATTATCCTGCAATTTAGATTTCTAAAGCGACAGAAATTATGCTTATGTATTGGCAAGGAGATAGGAGGCATTAGATAAGTATCAATATCATAGTTTTTATTTAAACATGACCTAAATCTTAATTTCGAGGAGCTCGATGGCGCAGGTGGCTAGCGCGTTCGGCTGCGACCGTTGAAGTTAAGCAACTTTCGCAGTGGTCGGTCATTGGATGGGTGACCAAAAATTTACTATCTCGAGCTCCTCCGTGCTTCGGAAGGCACGTTAAGCCGTTGGTCCCGGCTGCATTTGCAGTCGTTAGCACCCACCAATCCGCACTGGGCCCGCGTGGTGGGTTATGGCCCAATCTCCCTATAGGGAAGGCCTGTGCCCCAGCAGTGGGGACATTAATAGGCTGATGATGATGAATGATGAAATCTTAATTACTGCATTTGGTTTTGGTTTCCAAAAAATAAAACTAATCTTATTTCCCAATAAGGGTCGACTGAGGGATTGCCTGTGTTTGGAGAATATTGGGTAAAGACCTGGAAACCAATCTTAGTCCCTTTTAAATATGCTACAGTAACCTTCGAGGATTTAGTGATCACACGGCTCCGTCCACTCCCTCGGGAAATACTGACGTAAATTTCCCTACCAACATACACATTTTACTGCCTTTATTTCATGTGAGATTACTACTATAAAGGACTGCTCGATAAATTACCACGCATAATTATTATTGTTTGATAACTCGTCAAAACTCCTTTAACTACCTATTTGATTTCGTTTCGCCGTTTGTGGTAAATCGGAACTGAGCGCCTAACTTTCATTCAGTTTTACCAAGACAAACTGCTTTCGAAGAGTGTTGTTACGAGATACAATTAACACCGAAGGAGAAGCAGGTAATGGTCGTCGATTGACCATTCTCCCACCGACGCATGCATAGTGGCAGACTTTGTCATCATGAATATGAGCAAGTGGGTGGGTGGGTCCACTGTATTATTTGTTTCACCGCTTATTATTTTAAGATAAAGTCGCTTGAACTCTGAATACATTTTGATATCATTGAATTTGGCAACTGTTCATGAGTAATCTGACATTGGGGTAGCAGTTGCTTCTTGTGGAATAACGGCCATATTGTTAAAAAAATTAGATTAATAGATTAAGGTGGTTTGGGGGTGGAATGATTTTCCTATCTAAAGATTTTCGCCAAACATAGACAGTTATGCCAATGAAATAAAGAGCAAGAGCTTGCCTCTACGGGTGAATTAATCAATTTAATGAATTTTCAGCTGGCAGTAAATATGAGAGTTATTTTGCTGAACGATCAATCTATAGAGGAATTTTATTTTTTTATTAAAAACAAACGGTCAAACATGTATAAACGTCAAAATATTGAAAATGTTACACACTAAAGACCTATAGTTTCCTTAGATGGGGAGACGAACTTTTTACCAATGGATTGGATTCAACGTGCGGGGGCCGGGTCCATCGTGTGGGAGAGAGAGAAACTCTGAGTAGTTCCCGGGACTTGAGACCCAGATTTAGGTTTAAGATTTCCAACCATTCCAACGGGTATTTCTATATGATATATATTATGGATCATGTGTTGATGATACTTTTATTGAAAAGCTGTATTTAAAGCTGATTACGTAAGGAAGAATATCAGACTATATAAGGTGGCGTGGTCATGATTTCTCCATTGTTTTTGCTTTGTAATTGTTTGCAGTGTCCTACAGATAAATGACTTTAAGTTTAAGTAAATATGTTGTGGTTGATATAGGTGGTTATGGGTAGTCATGCTCTTCGGTGGTGTCGTGTGAGGCGGGTCGTTACGTTACCTAAAATATGGTTGAGCGAAGCGATGGCTGGTTCATGCGTCATGCTCGTGAACGGGTGCTGCCAGCGGAGATGAGTCTGCCCTAACTACTTTGATATTTAAGATATAAATGTTTAATTACACCTATTATAAATAACTCTGTTTGTATTTATACTGTGTGACACAGCAATCAAAATGCAGGTGTACAATTAATGTACAATTTCACATTATGTAATGAAGGGTGACTTCATGAATCATCTCTGAAGTCATTTTTCAACTTGACGACTCTGTAAATGATAAAACAGGGAGAAAAAAACAGCCCTTGCTGAGTTTCTTGCCGGTTCTTCTCAGTACAAGGTCTCCCGCCGTAGATTTACGAACCGATGGCGTAGCTTCTAGACATTCATATGTGCTTGTAACAGCCTAAACTGATTAAATGATTTTGATTATTGATTATTGATTGATTATTGATGCGAATCAACGCTCACCTTTACTGCTCCAGTTGCCGGCTCTTCCTAGCCGAATTTGATAGGAGCCTGTTAGTGCAGCCTTAGTTACTCGTTCCAAAATTTAAATTACTGCAGTTCTCGACAGGCCTAGGTCTTTTAGAAGGTTGTAGATAGATTTTGCTGGTATACCTCTCGCACCTACTTTTACCGCATATAAATTAACTATGTAGATAGCCATTTTTGGTTAGTTCGTTGGTTAGATCGTAATATATATTAAATTTTATTGGGTGGTCCTTTGGAATGTTAGTTTTTCACGGTACAGTAAACCCTATTAGTATCATATGTTTTGACATGACAAAGCCGAGCGAGTAGCAGGTAAAGTTAAATTATTATTTCTGGTATTGATTTTAGTACGGGAAGTGACGTCACGGTAACAAAAGTGCTGCAAAGCGAGCAGTGTTAGTGCAACAGTGAGTACAGGTTACGTCATATATTGTTGTATATCTCTTTAAGAAATTGAATTTAATTTTGTAGGGTAAATAATTAAACTTGTTAAAGCTATGCGGGAATAATAGGGAGTGTGAGCATCAGTAATTTTAAGAAAAATGTTTATTAATTTTCCACTGACACTAAATTTTTTTTAATGAACTGTGATTTAAACGTCATTATGTCAATTTTCATATTCTTATTTTTAAATTGTTACTTTACCTTAAGATTACACATTGATCGAACTCTCTCTATCTCTTTAGTAGCACAAAAAAATATTAGAATGTAAACGGCATTTCACCATAGTAAGAATTCTTATAGAATCCTTTAATAGACAATTCGCCCCAACCATCGATCTTATTTTAAATCACACTTAATTATTAGGATTCGTTATCCAAAAGGGCGACAACGGAACCTTCGAAGCTCCTACTATTCTTTCTGTTATTTCTTTAATATAGAGATATATTTTTTATGGACCTGCACATACTTTTCTGATACAAGTAATAAATATATTGAAAGTGTATAACATTATGAGCTTGTTTGTCAGAATTAATACCTACCTATCTGATACTTCTGAACGGATATAGCATAATATTTCAGTAATACAAAGCTACATCATTGCTATGTGACACAACCTGACCTACTATATCACGTTAAAATCAATTTCACCCTCGCAAAGTTGAGACGGGACGCTAGTTAAGTGATTAAATGTAAATTGTTTTAAAATTGATACGTTAGATAGTTGAGAAAATAAGTGCTAGAGAAATTAAAAAAAAAATATTGACATGTTAAGTGTTATGGTATGAGTAACGTCCAGCGGGGAAGGTAGTTTTTATGACAGAAAAAAAAACAAATGTGAGTGTCTTGAAACAGTAGGTTGCATCGAAGTTAAAAATAAATACATATAAGTATAAGTACACAAATACACATAATATGCAACGAAACAACTGACGGTTACGATTAAATAAAATATCAAAAACTATATTTACAGATATATTTGTGGAGATACTGGTTATCTAAAAGTCACAAAGGTATGGGTTACGCCTTCTAGACAAACTAGTATATAAGCTACAGCAAATGGGGTTATTGCATCAGTTAGTTGAAGAAAATAACACAGACCACAATGTTCAAGCTGGTGGTGTTATCCTCCGTGTTAGCCCTGGCTGCGGCCTCGCCTAGTGGTTTGGGAGCCATAGGGCTTGGATTGGGTGGTCTGGGCTGGGCTGGTTTGGCGTCTCCTCTGGCAGCACCTATCGCCGCGCCTTGGGCACCTGCTGTTGCCGCTCATGGCGTAGCGGTGGCGCCCGCTATTGCGGTCGCGCCAGTGCTCGGACACGCATACAACTACAGGGGACCTCTGTCGCTAGCTCCCGGACAGCCCGCCAACATCCTCGCTGCTGACGGCAGGCCGCTTGACACCCTCAGCGTCAACTTGGATCGTGCCGCGCACCTAACCGCCCGCGCAGTGAGCGGCGGTCATTTGCTGAGGAAGAGGTCCGCCCCTATCCTGTCTCCCGCCGCTGCGTGGTCGCACTCCGCCCGCATTGACATTCCCTCGCGGTTGGTCGGCCCGGCGCTGCCCGCTCTCTCCGCTGTTGGTTGGCCCGGTGCCCGCGCTGCTTGGGGCGCACCTCAAGCTGCTCCCTGGGGTGTCGGACCCCTGGGGCCCGCTGGGGTCATCGGTCACCTTGGTTAAAATGTACATATGAAATATTTACTTAAGAATTCAACACTGTATCTAATTGTATTTTATAAAGAGAGTTACCACTACTTATCTTTGTTTCCTTTCTTCTGACACGCTGCCCTTTTGATTTACCATTTTTTGGTAACGCAGGCGACTTCTATCTACTGACACTGGTGTACTGACTTAAGGGGCACACCAGCGAACGTACCTCACACTTAGTATCTTGCAAGTCTCACGGCGCGATAACGGAGAGCCCGTTAAAGCATGATGAGCATAACCCCGGATGGGTTACGAGCGGGTCCGGCATACTATACGCTAAAAAGCCCTGCGAATACCCTAAATTAATATTTAGTTTTTTGTCAAAAACAACGAGTATAATGTGCCTTAATAAGAAGTTTAAATTGTTATCTAGTGACCGTTACATATTGAATCAGTAACGAAGTCTTCTGGCTAATTATGTGATGCGCAAAATTGATAAAAAGAGTCATGTAAGTATTGCCATTCTAAATGCGAGCACTAGTTCTTCGCGATCTCTGTCTATGGAACCAGCCTCTACGCTGTCACACTGCTCCCTGGCCTAGCATAAAACAGCGGTGTGTGATCAGATTTTGTATAAAAAATAAATAATTATCAACAACTTTTAATTTAGATAACGCAAGATAAAAATATTTAAATAACGCAAATAAACTAAATTGACAGGTATGCTTAAAGGAAAAATAAACCAAATTAATATGCTCATACTTACGGATATCCGAATCTTTTGTTCTCTAGAAATATAGATACTATGTTGTAATTTAATATTAGGTCTTATTTTAAACACTGTATTACTTAAAATAGATCTTTACTGTAGTCTTATTTATCTATTATACCCATGAAATTTTCATGCTGGCTACTTCAAGTTCATTTTTTTCTTTTTTGCTAAGAATTCTAAGTTCAAACTATACGTATTTTCAAATAAGGAATTCTTTTTTGGAAATAAGTCATTTGTTTACTGGTTAGCATTCTGTTTTGGGCGTATTTATACGTTTTTCGTCAACATGGATACATTAAAAATTGGGGTGATTATGGAGTATGAGTACCGACGTCGGAGCAATGCGGCAGTAGCGGCACGCAACATCAACGACGTATACGAAGCAAACACTACTGACGATCGCTCCACCCGTTATTGGTTTGCCCGCTTACCTTCTGGAAATTTTAAAAACTTGAGTCGACAAAGACCAATGAAAGATTGTGGAAGCTGAAGATTCTCAATCTACACTGACTCAGCAGACTTAGCAGCAGCTTTAGATGTTACATCAAAACAATATTAGTCCATTTGCGTCAATTGTCAAGGTAAAAAAACTTGGCAAATGGGTGCCCCACGAATTGAATGACCGCCAGCGCGAAATACCTTGCACTGCTCAACAGGCACACGAACGAAGGCATATTGAATAGCATTGTTACTTGCGACGAAAACTTGATTCTGTTCGACAACTGCAAGCGCTCAGCATGTTGGTTAGATCCTGGTTCAGCACCTAAGCAATGCCCAAACGAAAACTGACCCCTAAAAAGTGATGGTTACTGTATGGTTGTCTAGCGCCAGTGTAATTCAGCAAAGTTTCTTACCAAACGGGATGAGCATGACTGCAGATGTGTACTGTGAATAACTGAACACAATAATGGAGAAGCTTGCACACCTGCAACCAGCTTTGGTCAATCGTTCGGCTCCGTTGCTCCTGCAGGACCACGCGCGACCTCATACTGCACAGCAGACGGTCTCCAAGTTACAAGACCTGGAGTTGGCAGTTCTCCGTCATCCACCGTACTGACCAGACCTTGCCTCTACAGACTTCTCCTTTTTTCAGAATTTGGATAACTACCTACTTAGCGGGGAAAAAATTAAAGAACCAAGAGGCATTTAAAAATGCATTTAAAGAATTTGTTGCTTCTCGTCCAGCAGACTTTTTAAAAAGGGCATCAATAAGCTACCACTATGTTGGCAAAAAAGCATTGATTGCATGGGTAATTGGGGAATCAACTTTAGTACTTTGATTAATAAAAAGGAAAAATAAAGAAAAAAAATGGCGTTAGCTTATTTCATTAATAACGACAATTTCATAGGTAAAGACCTAATATAAGTAACAAAACGAAGTTATTAAAGATAATCGACGAAATCTTTCGGCATCTACTGTCCCCTTCCACGTGGACCATAGATGAATTTCATATCCTATCATCTAACAACGATATGGAAAAGTCTTACTTAGCTGTTCGGCGTAAATTAGTCGCAATATGCTCGTAGACTAGAAATCCAAGGTAAGTACTTGAATGGCCCGAAACTTTAGTATTTAAACTTCAGGTAATGATGAAAAACAATGCAATATCAGCATAATAGGTATATCGGTCTCTTTATTATATTGTTTATTATAATTATTACTACTCTTCCCTCCTATAATGAGTATATTCCATTATACCGATATTAATTTAAGCGTAAATAATAAATATTAAAATATAAATAAGTAGGAACATACCCTTTATATTCAATGTTAAATATATAAGGGCATCCAATGATTTCGTAATTATACATAATCCAAACCAAAGTGGAAGTTATATCAAATTGAAAAAATGTTGAGATACTGAAACAATGAAATAAACTTTCACGTGGAAAACAAAATACCGGCAACAAAAAACTTCAATGATAAAATATCAACTCCATAAAAAAATATGAAATACCTAATTGGTTTTCCTTCTGTTGGGAAAAACACCCGATAAGAAAATGACGCTACGCGAGTACATCACAACAAATCTGCAAAGCTCATGCGCAGAAAACACAAAAAAAAAGGAAATATACGTAATTAATATGTGTGAAAATGACTCTTATAATACTTGGATTAAAAAAAAGTTAAGAGTAAAATACTTTATATTTAAATCAAGTTTTATAAAAAGAGAGAGATTATATTTTTTACCATTTGTAAAAAGTTTTAATATACTAAGTTTATACCATGTAATAATAGTATTCGTAGAAAAGTATTATAAATAAATTTCGAAATGTTACATAACAATAAAGGACATCGACGAAATCGGACCCAGCATGCACAAAAGAATGTCCTTCACTATTATTTTTCAATTATTTTTTTAATTTATTAGCAATTAATCATAGTAAACGGACAATCTGTTTAAAAAAACAAATAATAAAAGTTCTGTTACTAGATACTACAGTCTCTCATCCTAACTTGTCCTATTTGGTAAACAATCTTGGCACTCCTTTTTATTGACAATACAGCATTAAAAATCATCTGATAACTATATTCAATAGGTTTCAGTCTATAATAATGATTTATTTTAATAGTTTATTGGCTTCGTTATTATTTTATTTTTAAATGGATAATTTTGCTAAAAAATTGGGCCAAGATTGTTTACCAAATAGGAAAAGTTAGGATGAAGAGACTGTACACAATTTGCTGTCATGCCATCTTTAGAGCCTTAAGAGACTGTCTCGTCTAAATTTAAAAGCTTCCGCCAATGAGATTCGCAAAATTATTTCAAATAAAAGTGTCTTATTTTAATTCAATTCTATTCCATTTTGAATAGGTAGCCTTAATAAATGCAATATAGGCGACCATAGATATTTATCAACATAAGAATAGAACTAGGTACCTTAGTTAATCCTTAGTTAATAATACTTATCACTAGTATTTATATTATATTTACAAAAAGATAATTTCTGAAATTATTTAAAGATAGTTTATACTCCCATCCCATATAATATCTGTTTATTTTTATGAAAATCATAATGATAACAAATGAAACAGGTAAATGGAAAGCCTTTGAATATTTAATTTGAAAAGAAATCTATTATTACAACAGATAGGTATAGAGGTGCTGACTGCCAACACTCATAAATCAATATGAATGTAAGCATTTATTATTTTTACTACTAATTGCATTTTTTGTTCATTTAATGCATATTATTTAAGTGCTTACATAGAGGTTAACACTAAATCTATTCAGAATATATAAAGTGTACATCTTTTACGATTAAGTATAATAATTATAACCTCAAAGTCTAATACATTCTGTAGTAGACTACGGTTCCTCAAGTTGTCCGTATCTCAACAAATGCCTAATTAGAGTTTATGGATGATTCCGAGCACAACTAGCATTTTCTCATTGTTGTGCATTCTGGGGCATTCAATGTATGGGGAACGAGCAATGTTCATTAATAAAGTATTTAAAAATTAACGTTGAGAAAAGTACAAAGTTGCAACGCCCATTAAATCAGTTGAATGTTAGTTTAACATCCCTGCATACAGCTGTACAGAACTTAGCGAAAAATAATGCAGAGGTATTACGCCGGCTAACAGAAATAGGAAAGGACACATTTGTGGTAAGCCAACTACACAAGCGCATCGAAATCCTGAAAAAGGAGCGCGAGCAGGATAGGTGCCGTAGTGCAGAACTGAAAGACGTATTGATTTGTATGAAGAACAGCCGTGACAGATCCATAGAAATACAATGGAGTCGATTCTGATATGAGTCTCTAAACCTAAACTTAAATTTGACAATATTATATCCTTGTAATTCTCATTAATGAATGAAAAGGAGAGACTGATGTCAAATTTAGTTTTAAGTTTGGAGAATCATGCCAAAATCGACACCACTGTGCCTATTAAATATGAAGAAACATTCACAAAGTTGATAAAAAAAAAATTAAAAGAAGTTACAGATCAAATAAGCATTCACAAAATATTCATCAGCTATCAACTACCTTTATATGTATTATGATATATTATATGAGCTAGATAAATATGCATATACCCATGTATCATTATTATGTGTCCACCCGTTACCCTTGTATACCATAACACAAGCAGCCACGTATTGCCAGCTTTCCCTTAGGACATTATCCTTTCTTTTAGTCAGCTGAGACAAAACCTTTATATATATATATATTTCCCTATCATTCAAATGACAACAGAGACAAGCCAACATTAAAGTTTTAAAACATATGTAAACATAATAATATTTATATTAATATAACAAATTAGCTGACCTAGTGAACTTCATTCCGGCATAAAATAGTGGTTCGTGGCAGAAGCACATGACGTTGTAAAAGAGTGAAATTTTAGTTTTATAAATATTTTTTTATTTCAAATCATAAGGAAATTAAAGAAGAAAATGTTGTTCAAAAAAATAAAAATCCTGGAGAGGCCTTTATAACCTGGAGGGTATAAAAAAAACTTCGATCTATTCCTTGACCTACAAAATATGGACAAAAACAACTTTAATCGGTGAAGCCGTCTCGGAGCAGTTCGTTAGCACAGCTTGTGTAAAGATTTTTGAAGTGAAACTTCTTTAGGCACGCTTGACTTGGAGGGTAAACTGGCGAATGTGTTACGATTTCGCGTTACGATTAGTGTCATCTGTGACTTATCGGTAAGCAATTCGTTACAATACCCGTCACAAAATACATGAATCTAGTGCTTGGTGGGTAATAACGTACCCAGCGTGGATTGGCGGGTGATAACGGACCCAGCGCGGATTTGTGGGTGATAACGGACCCAGTGCGGATTGGTGGATGATAACAGACACAGCGCGGATTGGTGGGTAATAACGGACCCAGTACGGATTGGTGGGTGAAAACGGACTCAGCGCGGATTGGTGGATGATAACGGGCCCAGCGCGGATTGTTGGGTGATAACGGACCCAGTGCGGATTGGTGGGTGATGACAGACCCAGCGCAGATTGGTGGGTGACAATGGACATAGTGCGGATTGGTGGGTGATAACGGACCCAGCGCGGATTGGTGGGTGATAATGGACCCAGTTCGGATTTTAGGGTGACAACGGACCCAGCGTGGATTGGTGGATGATAATGGATCCATGGCGGATTGGAGGGTGACAAGGGACCCAGCGCGGGTTGGTGGGTAATAACGGACCCAGCGTGAATTGGTAGGAGATAAAGGACCCAGCGTAGATTGGTGTTTTTTTTTCTATCAACAAATCTTCAGGTTAAGTTAATGATTTTCAGATCATTGGAGCTAAAGAAGTTTCACTTCAGTCGTGTGGTCATAAGCACTTTTTTTACTAGAAATAATTCCATGCGCCCAGGCAGCAGACGGGACTCAAACTTGCACTTGCAACGCTTGCAGGCTCCGCTATCCGGACAGAAGCACTCGATAGGTTCGGGTCCCGTTTGCTGCCTGACCACGTGGAATTTATTCTAGTGAAGTTTTCTTTAGATTTAAACATCTAACCCAATCAAACTAGCAGTTAAATGATTAAAAATAAAAAAAATAAAAGCTTGTGTTGACTTGCCCGATTAAAATATAAAAAAAACAAATCCGAAAACTCAACTAAAGCGCGACCTGTCGTGTAGAATTGTAAGTTAAGTTTTCTTAACTTTTCTAATTTTTAATGCAACTTTCTTAATTGATATTTCGTAAGAACCTACAAAGAATTAGAAATTTTAAAAAAGGTGGATTTAATCGGTAAAGTCGTGCTCATGTTTAGTTGTGACAAAAGGAAATAGGGATTCATTTAAATATATAGATTTGAACATTACACTATTTGTCTATGGATAAAATTTGAACAAAGGTGTGCAAACAAAAGAAAAATCATTTTAATAAATTGGAATTTAATTGTAGTTCGTATTTACATCAGGTTTCTGTAGTAGCTTCAGTTTATAAGTGAACAAGGGGTGAGCTGTATGAGTTTATGTAGCCATAGGAGGCTGCCAGGGGAGTGGCGATGGGGGTGGAGTAGGCGACATGAGCGGGAGCAGCTAGGGTCTGCGTGTAAGCGATGGGAGCAGCGGCGATGATGGGAGCAGAACGCTTTTTCAGAATGTGGACTCCTTCGAGGGCCTTCGCAGTCAGGTGAGCAGAGCGGTCCAAGTTCACTTCCAGGGTATCCAAAGGCCTGCCGTCAGCTGCCAAGATGTTAGCGGGCTGGCCAGGAGCCAGGGACAGTGGGCCTCTATAGTTGTAAGGCGCCAGGTAAGACGTGGTGTAAGCAATGGGAGCAGCGGCAATGATGGGAGCAGAACGCTTCTTCAGAATGTGGAATCCTTCGAGGGCCTTGGCAGTCAGGTGAGCAGAGCGGTCCAAGTTCACTTCTAGAGTATCCAAAGGCCTGCCGTCAGCCGCTAAGATATTAGCGGGCTGGCCAGGAGCCAGGGAGAGTGGGCCTCTATAGTTGTAAGGCGCCAGGTAAGACGTGGTGTAAGCGATGGGGGCAGCGGCGATGATGGGAGCAGAACGCTTCTTCAGAATGTGGACTCCTTCGAGGGCCTTGGCAGTCAGGTGAGCAGAGCGGTCCAAGTTCACTTCCAGGGTATCCAAAGGCCTGCCGTCAGCAGCCAAGATGTTAGCGGGCTGGCCAGGAGCCAGGGAGAATGGGCCTCTATAGTTGTAAGGCGCCAGGTAAGACGTGGTGTAAGCGATGGGAGCGATCGGAGCGATGAGTCCAGCAGACACCGCGGCCAACAGGCAAGACAACACCACCAGCTTCATCATTTTGACGGAGGTCTGTGTTGTTTTCTGTTCTCAAAAATACTGATGCACTAACAGTGGCGCGATAACTTTTTATACTAACTAGCATCTTGTTTTTGCGACACACGTTGCCGGAAGATAGTACTGGCCCTGAAAAGGCAACTTTTGATCGAGAAATGAATAAATCGTTAAGTCGAGCGCCTTTTTCTTTGAGATCACATCTTTTATAATACTTTTTATGTACATTAATTTTTAAACAAATGACACCAACCCAATGTCCACCCATGATGTCACTTCACTGCCGGAAAATCAAGCTGTTTTTTCACAGTTCTTTTAACAAACCTGACTGGTGGAGAGTTCTTTGGAAATATTTAATAAAAATATTTTTTTCATAGGAGTTAGTTTTTTTAGTTTCTCAAAACTTTCTGAGTGTCTCACGTACATCCAGGGTATAAAAAAGAAACTTGTTCAGAAAACCGCGTAATTAAGATTACTAACGTAATTAAGATTCGCATAGTCTTTGTTTGTATTCGGAAATTCGATTAACTTACCTACTTACTTAACTTACTTAGTCACAATTATGAAAATGTCTTAAGCTCCAAAAAATGCACATACCTTATTATATAGGTTTGACAACGACGAATTTAATACTTCGATTTTGTTCACTTAAATTTGGCCGCCCAACAAGATACTTCTTCACGTCTCTTTTTAATAACCCCAAAGAATCCATTTGCAGATAGAGCGCAGCAAAGAAATGAGACGCCAACCAGTTTTACATAAAACATCCCTACCAATTGTGTCGTAAAACACGACAATCCTACCACAGAAATGGTAGGTTTTTTCTGTGGTAGGATTGTCGTGTTTTGCGTTTTCAGGGTTCGTATCTCAGAAGGAAAAAAGGAAGCCTTATAAGATCTTTTTGATGTCTGTCTGTCAATACCCTTTTTCTCTGCAACGCGTTGAGGCATCGAGTTGAAATTACAACTATATACTCAAATCTACGGTCCCTAAAAGCTGCGAAAAAATCTAACTTCTAAGTTAACATGAAAAAAAAAACGAGTGTGCTTATGACCACGACTGAAATGAAACTTCTTTAGCTTAATATATGTATGTGTGTGTGTGTACAATCTAATATATAAAATTCTCGTGTCACGATGTGCGTAATTGAACTACTCCGAAACGGCTCGACCGATTTACGTGAAACCCCCTAAATGTTAAGGGTGGTCCAATATTGAATTTTTTTTGGACAAAATTTTTGTTTTTTTTATGATACATCATACAAAAATACATAAAACCCTAAACTTTCACCTTTCTACCACCAACCCCTATTTTTTATGGCGGTACTAAGTTCGCTGGGACAGCTAGTATATATAAGAGTATGTATGTACATATACGTACATATTTCATTTACTAATTATAAGAGAAAGCGAGAAAGATGTGCGGGCGCACTGCTTTCTCTTGTTTATATCCCCCACTCAACTCCCGTTCGCCTCGCCCGAACACACTTTTCGTAACACGTAACGCGTTCGCCAGCCAGCGTGCGTAAAGAAGTTTCACTTCAAAAAGATATGGCCGATTATCTGTCTATCTGTCAATATCAAATCAAGATCCTATAGGTATATCCGGAACGCGTGAAGGTATCGAGTTGAAATTTAAAACATATACTCAAGTCTAGGTTCCTTGAAGCTGTAAAGAAATCACACTTCTATAATAACGTAAATAAAAGATATAACCGTTGAAGTTGCGTATCTACAGATTTCTACGGAACCCTCGGTGGGAGAGTCCGACTCGCACTTGTCCGGTTTTTTTGCTGCATGTCGGTAGTTATATGGTTTTCGTGTTTAATGTTATCAATTCACCTTATCACCTGTATAAATTAAATTGCTTAACATAGTATCAATTTTTTGTACTCTGCTTTGCCTTTGGTGGTTTTATACAAACACAATTGAGCCAAAGCAGAGTGAAAAGCATCCAACTTTATAACATTATCATGTTAAGCCTTAAACTGAAAAAAAGAACTTGGTCCAGGCATCAAACAGGACTCGAACGTGCACCTTCCTTTTTCAATCCGGGCAGACATAATAGCGTATTAAGCTATTGTACGCCAAGCACGAACAACTATCAAGAAAGTTTTCGTATCGTCATGTCAAATTCTCTATAGAAAAAGCGAAAAAGCTAGTGTGTTCTTATGCCCGCTATGGTGTACGCTGTTCAAATTTCCATACAATTTTCTTCAAACTTCTTAACATTTGACGCATAAAGAGATCGAATTCAACTATTCGAATTCGATATTGGTTTGTGCTAAGGGAACAGATCTGTCAAAGTTTGTGCTTGGGGTACTGTACCCCTAGCACGAACTAATATCAAATTCGCATCGTTTGCTAGTCCGAAATGTCATTGTCAAATGTGTACTGATTTTTAATTCGCTTTACGTACTTTGTGCCGCTGCTGTTCAAGTTTCCATACAAAATTTGACATTGACATTTCGGTTTGCAAACTATTCGAAATCGATAATGGTTCGTGCTAGGGGTACTGATGTATTTTATACAGTACCGAAATTATTTTATAATATTGTAAGATATTAAAAATATTGTGTAAAGTTTTGATGGTACCAATAAATTATTATTTTAAGCATGACACTGCTACATTTATAAGTCTAAAATTTTTAAGGGCGTCCGTCCGTCGGGGTAGCGGGACGTGCAGGTTCAAATCTTGCTAGACCGAGAGGATAGAGGATTCTTTTCTAGTAAAAACTAATTTAGATTTATAAAGCGCCCTTTACACGGAGAGAGTTTATTGCACGATTTTGGCGACAATTGTATGTTATTATCGTAGGCGATAAGCTCCAAGTGATTATCACATGCACTATGTTTACATTCAACATGTCATACGATACTCGTAAGGCAATTATTGCCAAACGCTTTGTTTAAATTTTGATCTAAATTTTAAAGAGATATTCGCCTACGACTTCTCAACTTGTCTAAACACAATCTCTTATGACACTTTTTTATGTTCATGCGAGTATCGTACAAATCCACTTGAACGTATGAGTTGAAGGCGAGAATTGCCATTCGAGTTCAGTGACGAGCGTGGTATTTTTCTTAAAATGAAACAAAAAACGTTTAAATTTGAATCTGCAACAATATTGAATCCAGTTGTAATTCAAGGCACAAAGTATTTAGATGTTCCAAAAGTGTTTCTTCATTCTATATTTTTTTTAACTCAACATATATTTTTCGTTTTCGTTTAATTAATTGTAGTCTTAGAAGAGCAGAGATAATGCAAGCACCCTCGCGCACTGCACTCATGATAGCATCAGGCAGATTTCGAAATAACATTCTAGCTTTAAAAAAAGATTTACACAAAGACATCCAGTATTCAACGATTGTCGCCCTTAAACGGGCGGGCACCGATAACAATATATTTGTTTCTTAGGTTTTCACGCACACCACTTATTAAATAAAACAAGATTCAACGGTATAGATGCACTGCTGCATTGATTTATTAATTGTTTGAAATATAGGTATTTGTTAGCGAAATAAAAGTAACAATGAAAATTATTAAACTTTGGTAGTTTAAGTTCTTAGGTCAATAGGGAGTTAACAAATCTGCAGCACAAAAGGAGACAGATACGATTTCATACAAACTTAGGCCCATGAACAAGATGACAATGGTCTTGTTAATGACATATCTTACATAATTTATTTACGAGACCATCACTGAAAAATTTATATTTTTTGACAATATGAGAGTGAATTATCTGAGTTTTAGTTGCTGTGAGCACAGCCATAGATTGGTCTCGCTGTCGAGTGGAGCGAGACCAATCTATGGCTGTGAGGTTACATAACCTACACCTGTATCTGACAGATGATTATACAGAATCCTATTAATTTCACTAGATGCAAAACACAGTTTACGCAGCGAACTAGCGATCCTTGTTGACATTAGTTATACAAACCAGGCGTAAAATGCAAATTATTTCAGGGCAGACACGTAAAATTAGAATTACCACTGTTATTGAATAGGGCATTAAAATCTATAAAAACAAGCCGTTGGCGGAATAAAACAAGTTAAGTACACAACATGAAATATAGCGACCACATAGCGACTTACCGTAACTTCTCTTTTATAATTTCATAGAGAAAGGCAAAGGTTTTCATGTCCTTACAGACAGACCGAAAATCCAAACCGTTCATTTTTTTTTTCAAATATCGAAACATATTATTAGACGCATTTTATTAATTACTATAGCTAAATACGTTCAAGTTAATGTGATTTGTTACTTTTGGCATAGTAAAATATTAAGTTCAATGGTAATTTATATTTTTAGTTGTGTGGATTAATTCTCATAATCCATACTAACTATCGATTAACTGGTTCATTAACATTGTTTTCATGTTTCTCCAATCACATTAACAAAATCAGACTGTTATGACTGTTTTTCAGAATTAATAAATGGGCTCAATTTTTAGATAAAATCTCAATTTATAACATTATGGTTACATCGGGCCCACAATTTTCCATCTCTTTTTATAAAAAGAGCTGACATTAAAGACTTCTCATTACTTTGTTTTCCAATATTTAATACAACCAAACAAAACATTTATCCACCTAACGTTATCCCACTTGAAGAAGAGTAAATATATTTTTCGCATCCCGAGTATAATGCCAGCACTTCACATGGCTATTCGTATTTGATGTTTATCATTTTGACAGCAGGCTGTCCTTATATTTTTTTTGTTCTGTGGCTGCTTCCGTTTAACACAGAAATTTCGCCAATGTCCCGTAGTGTGTGCTTCTCATACCCTAGAAGTGAAAAGGAGAGATTTGTATTTGCTATTTGTAAACTTGACACCTTGTCAAGTTTACAAATAGCAAATACGAATTGCCATGTGAAGTTCCTTAATAAGAAATCATGGCATTTTGAATGGCTTCAGATGAACTACAGTCATATAGTAGACTCATAAATACTGAGTAAAATAAGAATAAGATAGAAACATAAAGGAGATTGTTCAGCTTCCATACATGTTTGGCCTAAAGACCAATAATCA